AGTTGTAGGCACTGTTCAGAGAGCTGTGCTACGTTATCTCACGACAACCTTGTGAATTAGATACTGTTCAACCCTATTCTGCAGAACGGAAAACCGAGGCACAGAGATTTAAGTGCCTTCCCGGGGAAGTTAGTGTGTGATGAATTCAACTCAGTGGGTCTGTTACATGACACCATCATCGGTCCCATTACAGTTGTCTACGCCCTGGGTCCCCAAGGCCAGAGCACCTGAAGTCTGTGTGACTTGGAGCTACACTTTAAACCGGCTATTGACCAACCTGTATGCATCCCCAATGACCGGAACGTTGAAGGATCAGAAAGCTATGCTTGTGAGCAAAACATCATCAGATTTTTTGCTCAGAGAGGAGATGAGAGGTGGGCAGCCTCCTGACTGGCTCCTAGAAAAGAGACTCTCACTAGTACCAAGGGAGACAGGGTTTGCTATTTCAAAATGAAGGCTGTCCAAGGACTAAAGCCATTTGAGAACAGAGTGGGAGGTCTTGGGTGGTAGTGAGCTTCTTGCCACTGAAGGTGTTCAAGCAGGGACAGTTTAGGCACGTGGAGATGCTGTTGAGGGACTTACTGTATCAAATGGGGTTGTGTTGGATAAGCTGGGGGTCCATTCCAGCCCAGAGACTCTATGAATCTATCATTCAGGGTAAGTGCAGTAACAGTGCAGCATCATTGGGGGGGGGGACCCCGAACCTCCTCCATACACTCCTGCCACAGCAGGACAGGGGAATCTAGGAATCTGTCAAAAAATCTTTAATTGATAGGAGCTAGAGGCAAGGGTCCCCTCAACCCCACCAACACTTGCAGCTAGTTCCAGCCTGCTAGCAGGTGTTTGTCAGACTTGAGTCAGGGTCCTGTACTGGGGACTCTTGTGGTTGGATTTTCCTGCTTTCTGGGACCACTTTGGTGCTTAATTTTCCACTCCCCTCTTTATGGGTTGGCTTTCATCTTCCATGTATGATCAAAATTCTCTGCTTGGTCCCCACCTTCTGTATAGCATTAAATATTGTTGGCCTCCAACCAGGTGTCCTTCCCAGGCGTCTTGAGCACAGGCCACCCAGGAAACAGGCTTCTTCCTCTAACCCAAGCCAGGCCTGCCAGCTCCAGATAGCTCTTTGGGACAGCAAGTTCTTCAGGGTCCAGGTTTCTCTTTGTCTCCCTCTGTCCCCCACTACCTCCACCCCCCACCCAGCCACCATCCAGCACCACAGTTCCCTTCCCAGCTCAGACTTAGGGCAATGGAACCTATTTCTGCTCCAACTAGAAAGTTGTGCAGCACTGCTGCCAGATTCAGGCTGACACACCATAGGAGCAGGGCATGGTTGGTGAATCTATAATGCCTGGGGCCTGGCCTGCATCCCAGGAACGTGGCCACCGGCTTAGGGGTGTGGGCCTATTGGAAAAGGGGATGTGGCTGGATCAGAAAGGCAGACAAGTGACCAGCAGGCCAGCCAGGGTCTGCAGTGGGGGGAGGCACTGGGAGGTGGTGATTCCCGGCTCAGCATCTTGTGTTTCTACGCTTCCTTAGATTCCACTCCCTTTCTCCTTTTTTAGGTGGCAGGCAGCTTTGGTTGCTTGGGATCCCTCATAAACAAATGGTCAAATAGAAATCTCAGGTACTCACACTTTAAGAAAGTGACATGTGTCTAATTTCTCTAGGTGTCAGCAAAGCTGGACCACTGTGCTCAGGAAGGCAGCCCCCTGTCTGGCCTATCTGGTGGGAGACTATATCCAAATCTTAAGAACTTTTTCATTTCTCCAGACCCTTGGTACGGGAAGGTGTCTGCTCAGCTGCAAAGGGTTTTTAAAGCTTTACTTCTGTCCAAAAAAACTTTGCCCATTCCTGCCTCTTATTGATAAGCAGGAGGTACACTGGTGAATTTCCTCATTTCTAAGACTCCAGCTGGCAGCAAAGTAGATGGATGAAGTGGTGGTAGGGGGATTATCCCCTGATTGGTAGGATGCTGAGCCGGGTCATAATCTCTCTAGGACCTGGTGATATGATAGGCATTCTTCCTTGTCAACCAGGACATTCTTACCAAGAAGATAAGACACCCCAAATGCTCTGGACTCGTATTGACTGAGAGGAGGGTGTTTACGCTGGAGTCTTTCTCCTGTTTCCTCAGCCAAATCTCTGCCTCAGAGATTAAGAACTAGCGAAGCGTGAGTATATTTCCACGGGCAGTGTGAGCAGGTCATCCTCCCACCTTCTTGTGCTTGTAGTGAAACTTCAAAGGTCTGTTTTTAACAAGGCCCTTGCATCTGAAGTGCCAGTTTATTTCACCCTGACTGAAAAATATTCTGTGAACCCACAGCCTGATCCCTCTTCTTTCTCAACAGTCCCTTCAGCCCAGGTCCAGTAGAATTGGAGAATATTCAAGCTGGAAGGGACTTTGGGAGCTGTGAGATGCTTAGGAATCACCTGGGGAGCTTGTTAAAATGGAGATTCTGGTTTAGCAGTCTGCAGCGGGCCTCAGAGGCTGCATTTCTAACAAGCTTCCAGGGGATGTGAATACTGCTGGTCGGAGGAGGGCCACACTTTGGGTAGAGAGGATCTGGTCCAAGCTGGTCATTTTACAGATGTGAAAGCTGAGGACCAGGAGGCTTAAGTAATCTGCCTATGGTCAGAAATAGGACTCTGCTCTTTCCACTCTGCTTTAAAAAGACTTTCTTCCTTTTACACTGCCACTTTCTACTCAGGCCCCAAGCTCAAGCATAAACATCCCATCCCATCTTAATCCCATTTTACTGTCTGGGTGAAAGACTTCTGGTTCCATCAGGGCCCCTTGCTTCGAAGTCTGCATTTTTACCACCTCCAAAGGGGTTTTTGAAGTTTTCATTTGTTTTGACTTATGGATGCCTCCCCTTCTCTGCTGGACGTGTTAAAAATCATCTCTCTCTCTCTCAAAAAAAAAAAAAAAAAAAAAAAAAAAAAAAAAAAAAAAAGCGGGGTGGGGGGTGGGGGGCTGGGAACCTTTTAGACACGACTATGTCAGTTTCAGGCTGGAGAACTGGTGCTGGGCTAAATCCACTTGGCATTCTCTGCTCACTGGAACTTCCCCTGGAGTGATCTCAGAGAGGTTGCATGTTTCTGTGCTGCCACCTGCCACCTGCCACCTCCCAAGAGAAGCCAAGCTTGAGAGTTTGAAAATGCCTCAGTTTCCCTGACTCTCAAATAGATATTCTAAAGCCAATCCCAGAATGGCATTTGAAGTGACAGGGAGATTCCCAGTGGACTGGGGACACCAGGGATCCGCCTAGGGCCAATAGGAACCGGCTTCAGAGTCTAATGAGGTCTCCACTCTCTGTCCCCTCCTGCTGGTGGGAGGGCAAAATGCCAGTCTGGGGACAAGGCCATAATGGCGACAGGGGGTAAAAGTCTTACTGAGGCCAAGGGAAGGCGGAATGTGACGGGAAGTCGGGAAAACTGCCTTTTATAGGCATGTTCTTTTCTTTCTTTTATTCATCCAAGTTTAGTCCAAGAGACAGTGCCATCGAAGGCGTCAGGCCTGTCTGTGGTTGTGCCGAGGCAGGCGGGTGGCACCCGCACACCCCTTCCCCCATCTTGCCTGCAAGTTGCATGACCTGCATCGGAATCCACTGGGGGCGGGGGAGGATCCTTTCAGATATTGGATGCAGTTGAATTCAATGTATTTTGCTTCCTCGCCTGCCCTCATCCAAGCTCGGGGAGGAGAGCCCTGCTTTCTTCTGCGTGTGAATGCTGTAGTGTGTCTGCCTGCTCGGACTCCCCTAACCCTTTCTTCTCCTTTCCGACAGCGAATGCTGGGGTTTTCTCAGCAAACAGCTCACAATTGGCATCTTTACGTTTTATTTAAAAAAAAAAAAAATCCCTATCAAGGCAAAAAACCGAGAGACCCTCCTCCTCTCTCCGACAGGATCTGAGCTCGCGTCGAAGACTGCACCTGCTTAGCGCCCCTACCAGGAAGGGGTGCCTGTGTGGGAGGGAAGAAGGGAGGTTCTGCGCCCCCGAATCCGGAGAAAGCAGCTCGCCCGCCCCCTCACCCGGCAGCCAGCTCAGCGCACCCGAGAGCTGAGCCCGAGAAGCCGGCCTCTGACGGTGCTGGCGTGGCGCTTGCCAAAAAATGCCCCTTGCATCTCAATTTCTCGGCTGTTGCTCTCGCACTCGCGGCTCGCCCGCACTCAGGGCCACCTCGGCTCTCCAGCGCAGCCCTTTCCGCGCCTGTTCCTTCCTTCCCCGCTCCCTGCTTGCCCAAGACGGCGCAGTGGGCGCGGGGGCACGAAGCGTGCCATGCCCCGCAGTCCCCTCCCAGCCGAGCCCGGCTCCCCGGACTCTCGATGACGGATATGAGTGTCATTCAGACCTTGGACCACGCGTCGGGAGCGAGCCGAGGAAGACGCTCCGATAACCCGTGCGTTTCGTGCGGCTCGGAGCACTTGGACATTTCTGCAGGCGCGCGGCGAGCCATTCGCGGCGGCTGCTGCAGCTCCGACTGCATCTTCCTCCTGCTTCTCCCGGGCTCCGGGTGTGTGTATGTGTGAGTGTGTGTGTTTTGCAGGTGTGTCCGTTTTAATTCTGCCCAGTAGGTGGGACTTGGTGACTTTAGCACCATTTTTTCCTTTTCCTTTTTTATTTTTTAATTTTTATTATTATTATTTTTTGCCTTCCCACCGTCTGTTGCAACCCTGCAAAGTCTCGGAGTCGGAGAGCGCGCCTTGCTTCCAGATCCCCCGGACCCGGCGAGCCGACGAGCGCCGAGTCGGCCACCATGCCCGGCAGACCGCGCCACTAGGCGCTCCCCGCGGCTCCCACCCGGCGGCGGCGGCGGCCGCGATGGTTTCAGACGCTGAAGGATTTTGCATCTGATCGCTCGGCGTTTCAAAGGCAGAGGCCCCCCCTCCCCCTTCCCCCTCCCTCGCCGTCTTTGTTTCCTTCCCCCCCTGCTCTCCCACTCCCCCCACCCCACCCCCTCTCCTCTCCTCCTCCTCTTTTTTAGAAGCAGCGATCGGAGATGGATGTCTCTCTTTGCCCAGCCAAGTGTAGTTTCTGGCGGATTTTCTTGCTGGGAAGCGTCTGGCTGGACTATGTGGGCTCCGTGCTGGCCTGCCCTGCAAATTGTGTCTGCAGCAAGACTGAGATCAATTGCCGGCGGCCGGACGATGGGAACCTCTTCCCCCTTCTGGAAGGACAGGATTCAGGCAACAGCAATGGGAACGCCAGCATCAACATCACGGACATCTCAAGGAATATCACTTCCATGTAAGTCGGGCGGCCGCTCCCCAGCCCGCCTCCCCCCTCGGCCCGCGTCTGCCTCTCGCCCGCCCTCGGCCCGGGAGCCGGCCCTGCGCCCGCCCCAGCTCGCCGCTGCCCACCGCCCG